TTAAATTTATAAATTTGATCGTAAATAGGAACAAGATATGAAACAGATCAAAGTTGCTTAACTTCTTTCAAGAGGAATAATTATATTTACAATCGTAATAGAATACTAGTACGTACCTACATTTGTATGATTGTTGGTTTGTATATAATTATTATATACAAGCAACAGATGATTTAATAAAATTTAAATACTTACAATTCTTAAACCACTCGTCAAAAACTTGATTTTTTTAAATCATAGTTTTCATTGTTTTCAATAACCTATACTCTAAAATGAGAAATTAAAAATGTATGTTGTAATCATTTTTTTWAAATTAAGATAACAATAAAAATATTTTCAATAATGATAATAGTTGTTGAAATAATGTGTTTCTATTGTTGTATCTCTACACTCATTTCTGAGCTTTAAGAAAATTCTCTATAATTTGCATAAATATAATATATATATCATCATCCATATTTTACAAATAAAATGTTAATACTACTATGATATGTTTTAAATATTATCAAATTGTATAAAACTCAAAGCTAATGGCCTATGCTGCCGAAGCTGTAACGTTTAATAAAAAAAAATATTATCAGTATAATATTTAAAATAAGACTAAATAAATAGGTGTGAAAATAAAAAACCATGTTTCATCCGATTAGTGCATCCCCCCACTATGTTACACATAAAACCAGGCAATTTTTATATAATATAATTTTTAGAAGCAAAAAATTATGCGTTAGGTGAGACAAGGGTGGTCACAAAGTTGTGATCATACTTATTTATTTTGCCATACTTAATAGTTTGATTTATATAAATATTGCGATTAAACTTGAAATAGTAGCCAGTAAGTAGGTATATTCCCAATAAATGTTAATAATTTAAAGATTTGGAACAAAAGTAATACAATTCGATAAATCCATATAAACATATAACATATATAGRCATATAACATTTATTATTACTAATATTAAAATTATTTACAGCAATTATAATAGTATAAATAATTACTTAAAAATACAACTTAAAATATTTTGAGAACTAATTTGTATTAATACTAGMACAATATTACACAGAAAACAGAATAATAATAAAATTAATAACGGAATAGTTGTAGTTATCTATTTGTTATTTATGGTTTTAAAATATTTAATAGGTATTTTTTTTAAA